ATGCTTGTGTTTGTAAAATTCGCTCCGGGTGTTGCTACATTATCAACATCGTTAGTAAATCTGTTTCCAATGTCAGTATTAGCGGTGTCATCTCGGTAGTCAATAATACAATCACTGGCGTTCGTTACTAGTTCTAGTTCAATGGTCAAATTTCCCATGTACTTAAGTGGCAAATATTTAAATTGAGAGAAGAGACCACATAATGGCTTAAATCCGACCGTCATCTTATCCTTAAAACCTAAACAATTTACGCCGTTGACTTCGGGGATTAATTCAGAACCGACATTATTAACTAACGTCTTAACTTCGTCGTCATATCTATATCCGAAACCTTCATTGGCTTCGTCTTTTCGGGCTCCTTGAGACAAAAGTTTTAGAGAACATATGATGAACATGGTTGTAATTATCAAAATCTTCTACTACTTGATTACCAGCAATAATTCGCATTCTTCGGAAGAAGCAATAAGGCGGGGATAATGGACGTAGTTTGTTATTATATGCTCCAATGTCTAAATTTTGTAATGTAAAGAAAATTCTTACTGATTGAGAGTCTAACCAAGTATTATTTTCACCGTTTAACGAAAATTTCAATACTCGGTTCCCACTGTTGCTTTTGTAAATGTTGCTTCCGTTCGGCCAGAACGAAACACTGCGTCTGTCAATAATATAGGAACTTCCTTTGTTTAGTTTGAATGAGAGGTTGTCAATGAGAATATCTTCAGGTGCAAACGTGTCCACATTATATAAACAAAAGTAGAAATTAAACTTATACAATTAAACAAATAAACTAAAAACTTAAACTTAATATTTTCTTGTTTCTTGGCTTTATTCTTAACTTGAATTTCATTCACGGCGTCGTTGCCCTCATTTTGCTCAATTAGCTTCCTTACCTCTTCGTAAGCGTTTTGTTTGAACTTCTTCTCCTTCGGTTTCTTCTCCATTTGTTCGTATGTTGTGGCTTTGTAAGAGAACATTATTATAATTATTGAGATGTTAATTAAATTGTTCCATAAAGTCCTCTCTTGTTATAGCGGTTATATACTGCTGTCTTGATTTAACATTCTCTAATTTATGTATGTTCTTGGATACGCTTACGATCCTAAACCTATAGTTAACATTGAGTTTGACATTGTTCGTTTTCTTGTGTAATCGGCAGATTAAGATCTCATCCACTTCATACTTATCTGTTTTACCTAAGCTCTCTCGGATTGCATTAGACACCGTTAAGCACCTCATGTTCGTATAGGCTATGTTCTTCTGAGAAGCTGTCATATCACTTGTTGTCTTAAAATACTTATGAACAAACTCGGATAAAGATAACTTATGAATCCATATATCATCATACATCATATCTAATATTTTTCTGTTGGCTTCTGCCGTTGGATTTCCTTGTGGTCCTAATCTCTTACATATGGTAAGCGTAACGTTATACTTGAAGATCTGATCAATACATTCGTCTGCGTATTCGTCCGGCTTCCTTGTATTAGTTAGGTCTTCGAGTCTTCAATTGGCGGTAGCTGTTTAACATCACCCGCCCCGATTATGATTTTATTCGGGTTTCGTTTACTAAACTCTCTGATCCTATTTAATATGTGTGTGCCATTCATATAGATCTCGTCAAACACTATACAGTTATAACGACTATGATCAAGCTCGGGGAGCTTCTCTCCATCCCCAACAGGGATGGCGAAAAACTTATTGGTAGTGACCGCATCGTCGTCAATATTTTGATAAGCTTTTCTGGGGCACTACGAACAAAGTTTTATAACCCAACTTGCTGAAATGCTTTCCATATGCGACTTGCCGCCACCTGCATACTTAGAGCGGATCATCATCGGGTTATATGTGACGATATCTTTCGCTATGCTTTCCGTGTCCCACTCGTTTTCTATGGGTCGGGTCTCGTTACTAAATACGGGTATGGCGATCAGTTCGTTCTTTTTTGGTGTCCACTGCTCTGTGGGTTCCGCTATGTTTTTACTCTTTTCGTGTCTCCATCCGCCGATATGTTCATTAAAACTTATTAGGTTCTTGGCACGTCTTAAATGCTCCTTCCTAATTACGAAGGCATCTGTTTTAACACTCCATACTCCTATATGATTTTCTATCAGCTTGGTGTAGTCGGTGTGCATCTTAAAGTTATGGTGTTGTAATAATAATTCGATGTATATATATATATATATCCGTTTCGTAGAGTGGCGGTATCGGTCACTGTTAAGAAATAGCATTTTTTGTCAATCTTCTTTTCAACTAAGTCTGTCTCGCCGTCAGACATCTCAATCTCGTCAACATACATACTCGAGATTCTGTTAATCTTTCCTCCGATCTTGTTTTGATAATATAAGGCTTCTTTTAGAGTATCAAAGGCATAACTTATGGGCTTTAATCGTGTTCTTCTCAAGTAGTCCGAAATTAACATTAGCTATTAATTTCTTTATTCTGATGTCTTCGGCTGGTTTATCCGATATGTCTGTCTTCCATAATTCCGCTGTGATCTTCCTATAATCCACCTTATATACTCTGGATGGTTGCTTATAATACAGAATCTTACATTGCTTCACGAAGTGCTTTAAAAACATACCATATACTAAAGTGTAGGCTTTATTGAAAAATAAACTCCGCTTGGTGGGCTTGACCAAGTAGAGAGTGAGATCGTGAAAATCTGCTACGTTGCCATTGAAGGGCTTCCAGATATCAAACTGAGTGAATACCGGTATCTCGGCGATCTTGTTAAACGCAGATGTGTAAGCTTTTCTTACATCTATCTCTGTAGCCACTTCTGGGGTATAAAAGTATTTGTCATCTTTGTCTGTCTTAGGGTTATATAAATAATAATGTTTATTTATTTCACCCGCTGGGGGGATGGTGCGACACTCCTTGAAAATCTCTACATCTACTTCGTTGTAATATGACTTGTGAGTTGGCTTGAAGAGGGCGGTGTTAAAATTAAACATTGCTTTAGACATCTTGTTGTAGATCTGCTCCGTTCTCACGCAGTTGGAACCATCTATAGAATTATTTACTAAGTTCTGGGACTTAACCTTGTATTTGACCACTTTGTCCTTGATCTTAAACTTAAAATTAAATTCCGACACACAACAAGCGCTGAATGTAACATGTGGTTCGTAACCTGCCTCTCTGCTAAGATAAAACAGATGTGTTAGATCGTAGCTATCATATACCAACGTGTATTCGCTGTGTTCTGTGTATTTCAGTATGTCGTCCAGCGATGTGATCATTTTGCATTCCGTGGGTTCTTCCTTCTCATTAAGGTGATAATCTGACGATGCCTTAACGGATATGTTATAATTGTAAACGCTTGCGCGCGCCGCCTCGGCAGCCGGGCCGGCCCCAACCAGGAAAGGAGGAAAGAGGGCAAACAAAAAGGGCGGGTTAAAGGGGGGGGGGGGTGTGGGGGGGTTGGGGGAGGGGGGGGGGTGGGGGGCTGGGGGGGTGGGGGGGGGGGTGGGGGGGGGGTGGGGGTGGGGGTGGGTGGGGGGGTGGGGGGGGTTTTGAGGCACTTGGCATCGGTTTGCAGCTCCTCCAAGCGATTGGGGGGGGTCCCACAGGGCCGGGGGGGGGGTTGGCGTCAGAAAATTTTGTGTGGGGGGAAGGGGGAAGGAGGCCCGATCCGGGTCTGCTTGTTCCAGACGCTTGTCGGCAGGAAGCCGAGGCGAATTACTGTCGTTCGGTAACATCTGCCGTAACATATTCAAATTATCATTCGCTGTGTATATCTGGTTGTTCTTCACTATAGCATATAAGGCTGGGATATTATGATTTCTCTTGATTGGGTCCCGTTTATAAATGAGGGTGTCAAAGACATCACGAATTCTCACTTGCTTGATCATGTCTGTTATTGATGCCCCTTTTGTTTTAAAATCTTCTTCCGTCTTATTTATGATGTTTAAACTGGCTTCCTTGGTGAGCTTATTCTTTTCTCGCTTCTTGTCCTCCATAAGAGTATCTTTATAAACATCGCTTAGGGTATTGATCCAACACTGGTTCTTAACATAATGCTTTACTTTGATGGCTTCCTTCAAGGTCTCATACTGTGGATCTACGGGTGTCTGGATAAACCTATGATACATGCTGACATTCTCTGTGTTGGTTAGGTCTTCGTCTTGTGGCTTGAAAGCATCGGCATTATCTTCCCTTTCGGCGTAATTAACTTTAATACAAGCAATGTAACCTTCGGCATAACCGACATCGGCTCTAAAACTATCATCTGTCATTAACAAAGTCTTGAGTTTATAAAATGTTTTCGTTTCTTTCTTTTCATCTCTGAAAGTGCGTTTCCCTACAAGTTGCTCAATCCATGGTGTCGTTTGCACACTAGCGGTTAAATGGTTCACATGCACAGGAACGTATTCCCTACCCCTACTGTCTCTAGGTGACGTTTTTAATACACCTTTGTCTGCTTCGGTCTTGAGTCTGTATAAATGGACATTGATTGAATATTTTCTTGTTTTTCTCGGGTTGGTTCTTCCTGTTCTTTTGTTGTCTTCTTTTGCTTGTGCCATTCTCTGACCTAGCTGTTCTTTATCCTTGTGCTTGTCGTATAGTTTATTATATTATTTTTCCGCTTTAGTTTTTTCTTTGTCTGTTTTTGCGGTGGTGAGTTTCCTGATTAAATTGTCTGCTGTGGTGAATTGGGCGATCTTACGATCTGAATATAAGTTAATTATGTTTAGAATTTTGGTTCTGGTGGCTTGGGGGATGCGGTTTCGGAGGTTGTTGAAATAATCTCGCAGTGATTTCAAATTTTGATTTATTGCGAATTTCGTAGAATTTTTTTTACCTAGGTGGATAGGAGTATTGAGGTTCTAGAGTGTGAATAGGATTTTATTCATTCTTGGGTTGTGGGTGGGGTGGTGCCAATAGCCTAAATAGGCAAGGCTATCCCTAACTGAGAATCGGTGAGAAGGTCGTCTACCTCGCCGATGGGTGACTAGCTTGCGACGCGGCCAGAAACATTCTGCATGCCGTGACGCCGTGAGGTCGAGGTCCTTGGCCAGCTGTTCGGAGAGGCCTGTAACTTGCCAAGTTGTGCTTGCTGGGGTGTCTCGATGGAGTCGATCCACGGCGGAGTTTCGGCATCTTGCAGTCACCCAGGTATAAGAAAGCCTTTCGAGGAACTCTTCGCCGATATGGAAAGCAACACCCGCCCACCAATTCCATCCCAATGCGAGAGCTGGCATCCAGTTGACCCTTTCTTGGCCTTGCTGCACTTCTGGTGGGCAGTGTACTACATGTCGCATCAAGCATTCAAGAAACCAACGCATCATTGCCCCATCATGTGACTTTTGACTCCACTTGCATGCTGCAGATGCCTGGCTTCTCTTGGACACAGCTGGAGCGTGCAGATGTCCTTCGTAACTTGACTCGGTGACCTGGCTTCATGCTTCGGGAGGGGCATCTTCATCTGCCTGCAGTGTGCAGCAGTTAGTCTACGAGATCCTGTCGAGGGTTGGGTGACTGACCCCGACCCAACAAACCTTTCACGGTCAGTCTGTGTCAGCTTTGACATGTGTAGGATCTGTAGTGCATGCACGCGCAAGGGAGCGCAATGTGCCACGCCGAGTTGGGAACACTCCGCTGTTGCAATCCTCACAAGGTAGGCTCTCGCTCTCTGGCCAGCAGGCACATTTTTCTCTCGGTTTCTGAGGCTCATGGCGGCTCTTTGCCACAGCGTGTGCCGACCCCGGATGGCTGCAGATCACATCACATCTGTATGTTTTTCAGTACCAGTGTGTCATGAGCCATCTTGCACGGATTGCAGAGCACATCACAGTTCAACACTGCGAACCCGTGAGATAGAGCCTGCTGGACTCGGCATTAGCCGTGCAAGTCACAAAATCGCAACTTTCCGGATTATGACGACGTATTCCACGTCTCCTTCCATTCGGGACGTCTCGGCTTGCCACGCTTTGGTGGAAGACCTTCATCACCACAACTCCGACATCCGGGCCTGCATAGCCGGCCTGTGCTCGTGTCAAAGTCTGGCAAAGAGATGCTGGAGCTTCCGGTGAGTTCCGGTGGCCTCCTTGCTGCGCTGTCTGTTCCACGGTGTGCTCGTCACCTAAGAGCAGCGGCTTGAGATCATGCGCGCAGCGGCAAGACGGCCCGCAGCGAAGAGCCACCGCGAGCCGCGAGCATCGAAAGAGCACGAGACACCGAGTTGTCCTCCAACGTCTCCCAATCATGAAGCGAGATTGCTTGAGCCTCGCTAGGAGCCGCAGTGGTTGCCATGACGCCACTGCAAACCTTTGTACAAACCATCCCGAATCGAACTTGAGTTGGACTGTTTCGACGTTTTGCATTGCTCCACGGCAAATGCTTGAAGCCGTCTTTAGCAGGTCCATGCTTCGTCAGAAGCTTCTATGCGAAAGGCTGCAAGGGCCACGCAGCATGAAGAACTGCCCTACGTGGGGCTCCGCTGATGTCGTTGACCATCTTTGAGCCACACGCTTCAGGGCTTCGGCGAATGGCGGCCGAGCCAGCGTCCGCTGTCGATGATCCCATGAAATCCCATGTGGTTGACCCGCGTGGACGTTTAAGATCGTGAGCGTAGTCGTGCGGTATCGCACTAAGCTCGTGTCGCTGCACGTCTGAGGATGCTTGCGATTTGTGATTTCTACCGTGCCTGTGCTCCAGCTTATTTACCGGTTGTGGCATCTGTCTCTGGTCTTCCCGTAGTTACTGGACGTACATCTCGGCTGCTTGCTCCCGACGTTACCGAGGACACTGAGTCCCAAGTGAAGACCCATTAGGGTCTGCGAATTGTCTCATGGGCCAAGGTGTCCTTGGTTGGGGTGCTGCTGGTGACGATCTTGGCTGCATTTCTGTACCACAATAAATCAGTTCTCCCTCCGGTGCCCAACTACTTCAGCATGCTGTGGCGTGCAGAAGAAAAGCAGGTGGCACAAGAGGTTGTTACCAAATTCGATGGCATGAAGTTCAAACACAGCAGCAGATACTTGGTCTTAGCGATCAAAGACGAGAACATCGTGGTGCACTCTGTCGGGAACAAGCTTGCGGGGTACATGGACCTTGTGCATGAGCTGCCCGAAAACGAGCCACGATATGCCGTGTTTGATGCGGGAAGCGAGTTTGTCTTCGTCAACTGGGTTCCAGACAGCCAAGGTAGTAGCAAGAATGGACTACACTTCCTCACAAGACGTGGTGGTCCAGAAACTAGACGGTCTTCGCAAGGAGTTGAGGGCTACTGACAAGGCCGACCTCATCCAGAGTTTGAAGATGGCAAGACGCTAGTCTCGCCTCAATGTACTTAGGCCCCAGTCGCGATTCTTCACCCGCTCTCATTCATCCACTTTTTGTGGCACAGTCGGGTAGCAAAAAATGAGCCAGATTCTCAGGCAAGGGTTGGCATCCGAAGCCGCGACCGAAGCAATTGGTGGCCATCGCAGGTCTGTGTCGAACCTGCACCGCGTCGAGTGCTGCGCAGACTTCTTTTTCCAGGCACCATGCAGACACTCCATGTTCGAGGGCTTTTCACGGAGCCGCAGGAGAACGGGCTTCCGGAGGTGTGTGTGACGGCAAGACGGGAAGTGCCAGACTCCAACTCCTGAACCCCCCGAACCCGAAGCACCAAACTTCGGATCCATCACTGAGATTGAATGCTCAAGTTTTTAGTAATTAAGTGCCGGTAGCAAGGTATCCTTGGGCAACCTTCAAGAATCTTCAACATCGGGTTTTCCGATGCCGGGGGCACGTTGCAGGTTCTAGAGGGCTCCACCGACAGAGAAATGCTGCTCATGGCTGGAGCCCCGTGAGATGAGATTGATGAGATTTTTCAGGCTGTGGCCAAGCATTTGCAGCTTAACAAGACGCGTCCTCTTCATGAACCAGTCGAAGCTGGAGTTTTGCTAAGTCTCGACTTCGTTCCTTCCGTCTTCTTTGGGGCTCTTCGGGGATGGTTCCCATGCTTTTGCGTGCTCAAGATGTGGAGGGAGATTTGTTTGTCCACTTCGTGTTTCGACGTGACGCTGGATCGTTCAGAGATTTTACTTGTAGTGCTTAACGGACTCGCGGGCGCTTAATCAGCGGTTCACTTTCTTTCAAACCGTGCTTCGGAATATTGATTGTGTGTGTGTACTTGCTAATGGCACGCAACGTGAAAAGCATCTCATGGTAACTCACAGACAGCTTCCAAAGTCCTCTTCGAGCCAAATAGCCTGGATCCAGGCTCTGGAGGGTCTCTGCCACCTCCTCAAGGCTAACCAGGATGTGCAGGGGTTGCGGGGTTGATGGTGGGACAGGCTTGAGCAGGAGCGTTTACCTTGGAATTTCATAGGAGCCTTCTCGCACTAGATGAGAATCGCCGTATAACATGGGCGAGCTATTGGTTTGTCTTTGGGCTTCAGGGGTCATGTCGTTCGAGGACGTTTGAGGCACAGCCATTGTTTTGGGGTACTCTAAAACGTAGGTGCATAGGTCGGGTGGTTTGCGCGCGCCTACCAAGAAGTACCCTTCTAACCTCGGGGTTCTCCAACTCTGTTATTCGTGCCTGGCAAGGAGCCAGTCAGTGTGCAGAGTCTGCTGATGATATCAACTGATATCACTGCACATGTCTACGCTGGGCTCAAGCACTGTTGTCGTTTGCCAACCCTGCGCACCCCAAATCCCTGACCCCAAGGCGGCCATAGCAGCCATAGCATCTTCTGGCCCCAGGGCCCAAGGGCCCTAGGCTTTTCATGTTCAGAAACTTGGCGGGGGGGGGGGGGGAGGTGACGGTGAGTGACGGTGAGTGCATGCACCGGTGACGGCTCTGCAAGCGAGCGGGCGCATGGTCGGCTCTTCCTTTGGCCTTGGTCTTCATGAGATGCACACTTGCCGCGGTGGCCTGGAGATGGATTACTTCCCAAGGTCTAGCGGTTTTAGGAGTCATTTCAGTCGGAGTCTAGGCTTGGTGGGACATGTCCAATGAGAGCGAACAACTTTAAGGCAACAGATAGCTATAGAGACGCCGCCATGACCAGCAGCACACTCGCCACTCGCAGTCCTGTCCTAGGGAAGTCTGCCCCGAAATGTTATTATAATCTGTTTTGATATAGATTCTTTCAGACAAGCTTTGTACCAAATTCACTTCCCCAACAAGAAGTGTCCAAAGCCGAGGCTTTGACCGCTTTGGTTTTGAGGACTTTGTCCGCGGAGCGCGGCCTGCTGGACCTTGAGCTTGACCTGGAGGCCACAAGAAGTTGGGAAGACGAATCGTCTCTTTATGGCCTTCTTTTCGTGGCATGACCAGAGGAACTATAGGGGCATTGATCTGTTTGCTCAGAGGCCACTTTTCAACTTAGGATAGCTGTTTCTTGCGATTGGCCTCGTCGTGTCTTGAGGATTCAGACGACGTTTTTGGTCTAAGGGTTCAAAGGCTCAGCACGTTTGGACGCACATAGCTGGTCTCTGGGAGAACTGAGTTGCATTTGTGATGATTCAGTGCTGGTGGTGGTGGTGGTGGTGATGAATGATAACGATCATGACGATGATGGGGGCGATGATGATGGTGGTGAGGATGCGTGGTGCCATGTGTAGGTGCGGTGTTGCCAAATCGGGCCTTTATTGGCTCAGCACGAGCCCTATCCGAAGCCTCGCTCGCGCCAGGCGGCGCCCCAAAATTGGAATGTAGAGCCGGCGAAGGAGCGTGGAGGGCTTGAAGCAACCGGAGCACAATCTCATCCGGCTCATGTGATGCAACAACATTGAGCCGAGTCAGAGGACTTCCCACGCGTCTGCCCCAGGGGCAAGTTGAACATGGCCGGCAGGTATCTTGTGAGCTCACGCTGCTGAGCTCAGATTTATACGCATGAAGCAGACGTGTATAGTCATGTCGGCTCATTCGTAGACCTGCTTGGTGCTGACTCGACTTCGAATTCATTCTAGTGTGATCGTCGTTGCAAGATTCCGATCTCACTCTGGATCTGGCATAAGCTCAAGATTGAAGAAACTGATCAAGTTCTGGTAAGCGGCTGCACAGCAACTCCAAGTAACGAACCGCACTGTTAATTTGGGCGCTTCGTGTTCTCGTTCTTGACAGATCGCTCGTAGTCTCTTCGCCTTTGTGTTGTAGAGCTTGAAGGTGCGGACTGAACCCGGCATGGACAGAAGAGTTGGATAGGTCGTTGCTAAAGAGACGGCATGGACTGGCAACGCTGGAATTTCGTTGCGGCCGCGGCCGCGGAACCTTTGGTGTTTGAGATTCTAGATGCCGTCACCTGATGACATTTCCTGCATAGAGCCTGGCGAAGGGCATCTAGAATGATACGTAGGGCAGCTTGCACGGAGCTGACATCTGCACAAGACATGTCCCGACTCTTCTTGAGCCAAGGTCTGGTGATCGCGGGATCCTGCAAGCTGAATGCCGAGGTTGGGTTCCTGAAGATTTCTTACCCGGTGGTATTTTTTCTTCACGTGTGACAGCGGGACGCAGCATCGAAACTCTGAAGCCACAGCACAATGACCACAAGTTCAGAAGGCGTCTCAGCGTGTCCTGAAACATCTTCGACAGGCTGACGTGGAAGTTGAGCTATTCGAGCCCATGCGTGTGGAGGGTGACGCACCTTGGCTGCATGATGCTGAGTTGCACAGGGCCTCAGGGCCTGCGCAGGCAGCTTTTTGACTTTCTCCAGTGCCCATGGCCAAACATGCCAAACAGTTTCCGAGTGTTGAGTGATCATGTAAAGCCTGTTTCTTTGTCATGGTTTGAGCTCGGCAGCCGCTTCTTGTGCCTTTCTAAGAGCTTTAGATACTTCAAGGCTGGGCGTTCTGACATAAACTCATAAACGTTGTGTAAGCTCCCCAAAGATGCTTAGAGCAGGTCGAATTCCATGGCAGCTTCAGATTTTCGACAAAGAGCTCTTTGGAAGGATCCTGCCTCGAAGTCATAGGGCGGCCTGGCACCCATTCGCTTTGTTTCCGCATTTTTTTTCCAGAACCCAAAGGGCTTCCAAGGGCTTCCAAGGGCTTCCAAGGGCTTCCACGGGCTTGAAGGGTACGACGTCAAGTTGAAGCCATGCATGGGCTCCTGCAGAAGCAAAGAGCACAAACAGACATGGTGACAGAAGCAATGCTGTGCACTGTAATTACTACTGTACACAGTCCAGGAATCCAGCAGAACTTCGTTGTGCTGCTGCAAATTAACGCCTCCAACCGTACGAAAAGCCCAGCTCGTGACCCTCCCAATGTCAGTACGCATCAACAGTTATTTGTTCGTATGGGATGGCGTGCCAAGGAACGTCACGATTACTGCGAACGCATCCGTGGCTTTTGCAGGAGCGCATCCGGCTTCGAGTGAGATGTACTTTCCGTGCTAAAGCATCTGCGTGAGCGGGTTTGCGGTGAGTTGCTCCACGGGGTCGATGCCAGGTTCGTTTTGTAGAAAACCCGCTCAATGTGGCCGCAAGCTCTCGTGACACATGTGCGCGATGTCAAATCTCGAGCCTGGCAAACGCCAATCTCATCAACCTCAATCCTCAATTTTTAAGTAGAGCCCTTGGTGGCATTAAAGTGAGAACTCCACACTCAGCGAACGCAAGAAAGCCCAATGTGACTCCCATGCACACCCGGATAGCCCTGCTTTCAACCGTACTCTTCGGTGACAACTGCAACCTCACAGGCACAGCATCAGACATAATGAATGACCAATACAATCTTGAGTCGAAATCCTCACAATAATCCACGGGTCCTACGTCAGCAAGCCAGTGTCATTAATATGCATACTTTGGCTCCCAGAGAATCTCCTGTAGCAGAAGCGATGCTACGCCTCTAGACGGGGGCCGAATGTGCACGGAGGGGGCGCCAACAAACGACGCCACAACCCGCAGAAGCGGCGCAGGACCAGATTCACAGACACCAGTTTGTTTACCCACCCCGATTCAAAAAGCAAGTTGTTAAAATGCTTATATATGCTTATACCGAGCGTTTGTCATCTTAGTCACCACGGGAACGTTACGCTCATCAGTTGGAAACCAAAAGGTCTTGGAAAGCCGCAAAAGCTTGGTCAAACAGGTTTAGGGTTTAGAAGCAGCATCCCCACAGTGCTGATCTCCAAAAGCCCTCAGAGCCTCAGATCTGCACAGATGCCGCATTCTTGCAAGAGAACAGTGTCCACTCAGTGTTTGCATATGTCAGCAGATTTCATTGATCCAGGGGAGAATGTATGGAAGGTTCGGGCCCAGGAAGCGGCATATCCTTCGTCTGCATCTCGAGAACTGATGCCATGACGTCCGAGCGTAGTAGCAACGAAAGACGTCGGGCCGGTCCTGTGGTCGCACTGAAGAAGTGGCTAGACCTGAGTATCCTAGCCGAGTTACTTAGTTTTGAAAGAGACAGGATCGTAATGGATCGTATGTATGCGCGACTCTTCTTGTGGAGGCTGCTCCAGCTCGAGGTTGCTGCCACGTACTGCGAATCCGGTGGACCACTGCCTGGGCAAATTGTCGTCACGCGGCTGTAGTCCAGTTCAAGTTCCGTCTTGACATTCAGGCGTTGGCAGAGCTTGTATGCTGCAGGTTCACGTCGCACGGAGTTGAAGAGCGAAAGCTTCCTCCGGCCAATCGGCACCGGCGACCGGCTTTTTTGAAAGAGTTGCGCAAGTCTGCTGCGCTTCTGGAAGTCGCCAACACGTCCATCCCGAAACCTCCTCCTTTGCCGCCGAAACCTCCCCCTTTGCCGGGTATCATTCCGGAACCTCCCGAAAAGGTTGACGCTCGGCTGCTCTGTTCGTAAGGGGTTCTACTTAGTTTAGCAACCCGGACATGTCTTATAGCACCGAAGTGATTCGGTTGTGATTGCATAAATCTGCGTGTGTACCTTTGTACGTGCAGGTGTGTTCATGGTTGCCAGGCTGAACCGACAGCAAGTCACTACAAGGATGAGCATTTCAAGTAGAAACCGTGCTGCATTGTCGTAAATGCTGCCCTTTCACGATTTCAAGCACTGCTGCACCAGCTTGAGATCATGCATGCCATTGCCCTTGGTGCCTTGCTATGGTAGTCTCCTGAAGCTGCTTATGTGCTCTTCGCCAAAACGACTGCTGCTGTTTGACTCTTATCCTCTGTACTGCTACGCGGCATTCAACATGCATCAAAGCGCAATAGCTTCAGGCTCATCAGCACTTAGACGAAGTACTCGTTTTCATAGGGCCACAGCTCAAGCGGTTTGCATCATGCTCCAGAAGCGACAGCAACGCTGTGGCAACATGCACCATGGAAGTACAATTGGGA